GCCCGGCGCGGCGCCTACCTGAAGACCGCATCCAGGGGTAGATGCGGAAACTGGCCTCGGCCGGGCCGTGCAGCGCGCCCTCGTCCGCCTTGTCGCAGGCGCCTTTGGCGAGGTCACTGCAGAGCCCGGGGATGTTTTGGTCGTAGGAGGCGCAGGGCAGGTTGCCGTAGGCGTCGGCGCCCAGGCCGTAGCCCGACGCGAAGGGGCTCTGATAGAGGGGGCTGTTGACATTGTACAAGCCCGGCACGGTGGAGGCGAAGGCGCCGGCGCCCGCCCCGTAGCCGCTTCTCTGCGAGTTGGGCGCAAAGGAGCAAGAAGTCGGCTCGGCATTTTGGAACAGAGAAGCCCCCGCCGTATATTTGCTAAAAAGCGCGTTCACATAATACGAAGAACTCATAATTTTGACCTGTGATTTGTTGTCCGGCAGCTTTCAGTGTCGGTTTTACGAGGTAGCGTGATATATGATAACATTACACCCCCAGATTTACACCAAACCCCATTTTCTTTTGGACGGAGCTCGCCGCAGCACGTGACCGCCCACATGACCGCCTCCGCCAATCTCGGCCGCGCTCACAGGTGGTCTCGCCCGGCGGGGCCGCGGCTGCCTAGAATGGAAGCAGAGGCGGCTCCGGCAGCGGCCGCGAACCGCGCGCGCCGGCGGCCGCGGGAAGGACCGGAGCCTCCGCGCGCCGGGAGGGAGCCGGCGGTGCCCAGCAGGTGCGGCCCAGAGCAGCCCCCCACGCCTGCTAGTGAGCCCCAGGTGAAGCGTGCGGATCCCCCTGGCCGTGCGCTGCCTGCTGACGCAGCCCGCGGCCGTCTCTGCCCCCCACGCACCCGCCCTCCCGAGGGCCTTGGTGGCAGTTCCGGACTGTGGACAGATCTGCTCTTTGCCCACGTCTCTGTCTCGGGTCCAGTGGGCCAAAGGCCAGACTCAGACTCTGAGCCAGACGGGGCAGGCGCGGCGTCGCTTCCAGCAGCAGGCAGCCGAACGCCACCACCGCAAGCTGGAACCGTGTGGTTCGAATAAAGTCAGTGTCTCCCAGCTTCCTTTTTGTAATCGGCAGCGCACTGTTTATTCACCCTAAAGGAAGCAGTGAAATATTTATCTATTAATGAACCTCATTTGTCAACAGATTTATTAACATGGGGTTCCCTATGCCTCCTACCGGACACCGCAGCCCGGGAGGCTCGGTGCCTTGGCTTCTGGGCACCTGGCTGGCCTCTGGTAGCTCAAAAAATGGCTTTGTCCTCCCCACGTCCTCTGGTTCCCTTTGGCTCACAGAGCCCCTCTGTCCCCCTACACCCTCAGCGTGGAGGAACCTCAGGCTCTGCACCTCTCTATCCACCCCAACATTGGTGAGGCTTCTAGCAACCTTCACCCCAGCCATCCCTGGATCTCCACCTTGTGAGTGTCGGTGTCTGCGAGCAATTGAAGCTTCAGAGCTGAATTGGAGTGGAAAGCGGGGACCTGGGTACCTGGTGACTACAGTCCCTTGCAGATCTGCGTTTCTTCTGGAGACACCAAAAACAAGGGAGCCCTCCCCAAAGGCCCCCCAGCTCTGGCAGCCACATCTCTGCAAGGATCAGCAAACAGCTGAGTGCACAGTAATCTCATTCCGTTCCACCCAAATCCCCCAGCACACAGCGCCTACCTTCCCAGGCCTCTGATCCCTGCCATAGCGTTCGACCGGCTGAAGTCCGCGCTACCCACCTTCTGTGGCGGATGATAGGGTAAACTCTTCCCCTAAACGCCTCGTAAACTGCCCGGGCTGCACTGGAAGCCTGGCCACCTTTTACTGCCCGGCTCGATTGCACACCATAAACCCAACCTCACAATGGAATTGCCCCGGAAATTCTCCTCTAAATTATAGACTTTGGCTCCTTGTGTACAAAGCACTCCTCTTCACTTTCAGAGGGTCCAGGCTACCCTGTTCACCACACCTTCTCAGGGGGTCCTGGGAGCACAAAAGAGGAAGGATGGTTCTAATGGGATTGCACAGGAGCCCCAGCTTATACCTAGTAAAGGGCTCAGCCTCTGGTTGGGAGGTGGGGGCAGGTGGGCACTGGGCTGTCTACCTCAGGGATACAAGGATGGGGAGGGTGACGGAGGGGGCAATATCCGGAATGTCCTTTATGGTGGATCAGGATGATACCAAATCTCAGACTGGGAATGGAGGGGGTAAACCCAGAGGGGGGAAAAAATCCAAATAACATCGCCTTCTGGCAGGCAAATAAAAACCTAAGAAAGTTAAAGAAGATGTAGGAAGCAAGAAGAAGGCTAGATCAAAGAGGCGGAATTAGATGGCTTTAGACCAATAAATTGTTCCTCTGGTGACACAGAGCAAGACGCAGAAAGAAAGACCGGGGCCCAGCCGCCGGTGGCTGTCTAGACTCAGGCGGCTGCAGTAGCCCACAGCGATGGCGTTTAAAGTAGAACCTGTCCTAAGCAAGGCGACCAGACAGCTGGAGTGCGGAGCAGTTTCAGGGGGCGCAGGCAGGTACGCACTTCACTGCCAAGGGATGGCTGGGCGCGCAGCAAGATCATCTCTTCCCTGGATTTGGTGAGGCAAGCATCCAAGCGGTCTTGCCAGGACACTCTGCCCCTGTACCCCAGCCAAGGAGGATGCAGACACTGCCCGCAAAGCCTCAGTGCTTCTGAGCCAAAGTCAGCCAACTGGGCCGGCTCCTGAGGGCCCCCAAATCTCCCTTTCGTTTCTGAGATTCTCTCTCCCTTCCTGCCCCTATGCTTAGATTATACAATGAAAAGGCCCAACAAATACCAGGCTTTCAATAAAGCCTATTTAATCGTGTGTTCCTGAGCTATTGGTTCTTTACTTATTTGACTAAAAAGACCAAAAGGTACAGGGTTATGTGAGATGATATTCAAAGAAATATTCGTTGATGCGACCTGGAGCAGGGATAGGTAGGCCAGCTTGTAATCAGCCTAGCTGTCTCAGGCGTTTTCCCCTGCTCTCCTGGAGCTAGCCTCTCACCCACTGCTACAGAGTGTTTCCTCTGATTGTTACCAAATAGTCTGCAATATTTTAATCCAGTTAAGACTGTAAACTCAGCTCTTTGGCAGCACAAGGCGCCTGCTGGGCCGCCGGCGATTTGCTTCTCCAAGTTTCCAACCGCCCCTCCCGCGGGCTGCGATCTGCTCTCCACCAAGTGAGCAGCGGTGAGTGGCTTAGCGTGGACCGACCCATCCCGACGCGTGTGAACCAGCTCGGGCCAGCGAGGGTCTGCCTGGACGGAGGGCGGGGGCTGCCGCCGCGGGAAGCTGCTCCCTGGCAAAGGAGAAGGAGCGCAGCCTCCCAGCCGCCAGCCGGCCAAGGGCAAGGGAGGCGCTGCCTGACGGGCAGTCCACGAGGCCTCGGAGGCTCCCGGCGCATTGTACCTACCTGCGGCTTCTGTGATCGGTGGAGAGAAGTGGCCACCACCAATCTGCGACTTTATTTGTAATTACTGAGCTTTTTATCTGCGCCCACTGACTGATCTCGCCTTTTTTTGTTATTACATAAACAGTTTTCTGGCTGTGGATACGAAACCATGGTGACTCCTCTCGGGAAAAGCAATAAAAACCCTTCGTACAATCAGATGCTGTGAAATAGTGTGAGTTATACACGGAAATATAATGAAGATGTGTCTGTAATGCCAACGTGAGAGAGAGAGAGAGAGCGAGAGAGAGAGAGAGAGAGCGAGCTAGCCCACATCCAGGAGAGATGTCAGCCAAAATCCAGTCCCCAGTTTTACAGCGCAGAGACGGAGACGCAGGTCGTAAACATTTTGCGGGCTTGGCGGAGACTATTACGACCCAAATAAATACACCGCGTGGCATGTTCACAGGGCTCTGCCGTGCTTGGGAAGGTTTTGTGTTTGTTTTTGTGTTTCCCTTCGAAGCCATTCTACACCCGTGGCAGATCCTCGCACCCGGGCTCCCGGCCACCATTGCAGAGGCTCCGAGCGAGGTCCCCACTTAGGGCCGGGCAGAGGTGGAGCAGCGCGGATGGGGTCCCTTCCGTCCCGCCTCCCCAACGGGGAACGCCTGAGCGGCCTTGGCGCCTCTAAACCAGGGAAATGCCACAGCCAGAGAAAGTATGGGCGACTTCCACGACGACGGGAGCGCCAATTCTGGAGAGTGAGGGTGATGTCATAATTGTTAGTTTAAACGTCACATTTGTTTTAGAATAACCAAACATTCCCTGGTCTTCCCCGAGCTTCCCCATGCCAGCCGGCTCCCTGGAAACCTACACTAGACCAGGTAGCTCCAGGCCCAGTTTTGACCCGTCTAATTTTATTGTCACATATTCAAACCGGTCGAATCCCGGGGTCCTGGCTCTCTCTCCGGTGCTGGTTCGCCGGGGTCTTGTCCCAGGCCCTGAACCGAAGTGCAAGTTTCGGGACCTCCGGGGCCGCCGCGGACCCTGGGACCACAGCGCGAGCCCTCCGTAGGGCCGTCGGGTCCCGGGTCTGCAGGCTGGGCCCGCGTGCCCTCAGCCCCGAGGCCTGCGCAGGGCTGCGAGGACCCAGGACCGCCCGCGCACTTGCAGCCACCAGCCCCGCAGCCCGGCGAAGGGCGGCAGCCCAGCAGCTCTGCGCCCTCGGGACGCGGCCCGGCAGGCGCGAGCGGTGCGAGTCAGGCCAGCCCCCGCCGCACGCTAGTATCCCAGGGAGGCTTCCAGTCTGGCATGAACGGCACGGAAAATATACGACTGCTGTTCACTCAAATGTGGGGCTCGCATTCCAGAAAGGCTCGCGTCAAGTCGACATCTTAGGAACTTCCCAGGGTCGCGGCGGCCGGAGATGGCGGCGCGAGAGCCTCTTTGGTGGAGCCACACTGCCATCTGCTGGTCGCCCGTCCGCACTGCAGCACCAACAGCCCCGGGACGCCTGAACTTCGCCAGCCGCAGCCCAGCGGTGCGCAAAGCCTCGCGTTCGCAAAGGCGGGGTGAGGGCCCCCTCCCCGGGGGGCGGCGTGGAGCCCGGAATCTACGCTGCGGAGGGGACAATGCCCATAAAAGAGAGCTGTTTCCGCAGCCGCTTTATCGTCAGCAGACAGAGCAAACAAATGAAAGGGCTTTGGTGGAATATCCTAATTGGGGCTGGACAGTTGTAAACTCATTAAGGGCCGAATTCCAGACAGTTCGCAGACCCGGCCTTTATGGCACACCCTTACTACCCATTCTTTGAAGTTCCTTCTGTCTGTAGCAACAGAGGGCGTCCCAACCTGGCGGCGCGGTGGGGGCGGGGTGAGGAGCCGTCCCACCCATCCACCCGCGTCCTGATTCCCCTCTCACGCGTTTGAACACAGTCAGCTTTGCAGGAGCCCGGGGGTGGGGTGGGGGGCAGGGCGAGAGAAGAAAGCGGGGAGTGAGGCCGAATTCCCCGGCCACATCTGGAAGGCGCTCTGGCCTCCGAAGTTGCGGCGGTTCCTCGCAGCCCTTTACACCCCATAAACAGTAACAGCCCTCATTTTCTTTTATGGCGCATCGGGGCTCCTCGGCTGCCTCAGCCCGGCCTCTGCCAGGACTTGTGGTCGGGAGGTGTTTGTGGTGCAGGATGCAGATTCACCCCGGCGAGGCTGGCAGGAGGTGGGGTGCGGGGGCATAGGCCTTCGGTCCCCTGCAAGCCCCCAACTATCTGAACCGGCTGCCGAGTCGGGCTGGTCGGGCACCCGCGTCTCATCTGAGCCTCTTTAAGGAGACAGGCCCTCAGCTCCAGGTTCTGTGCTCCCCCAACCCCACTTTTACAGAGAGGCCTTGGGCGTCTGTGGGTAGGGATTTGGGAAATGTCTTGGGAGCATCAAGATGAAAAAATAACCTTTCCACTACTACTAGGGATAATGGGGACCCAGCCCAGCTCCTCCGAGGCTTCTCCACCGACCGGCACACGGGCACAGGCTGGGAGCCTGTCCCCGCAGCCTGCTTTCCTAGGCTTCCTGCGCTGCTCCCGCCTCAGAGCTCCCCCGCGCTGGGATCGCTTAAGCCGGCCTGGACTGGCTGGGGCAAGTGCCGGCTTCCCGAAGTCTGCTGGGGGTGAAATTTCCCCCACCCCAACTTGGTCCTCCCCCGAGGCAGAGACTCTACCCAGGTTCCCCTGCCCTGAAGAAGGTGCAAAAAGGAGACTCGCAAAAATAGAAAAGAATCAATATATTTTATTTGGCAAAAAGTTAAATATCTCAACACAACAATTTGGTCAGTAGGCCTTGAGGTAACTATTGCAAAATATACAGTGTACGTTCAGCCGGATGGAAACCCGAGATTCAAGAATACAAATCTACAGTAGCCCAATGGCAGTTTCATGGTGTATCATTTATTGACAATAAAATTGACTCCATTACAATAAGCGTTCATTTCCCCCAATTAAAATTAAGCATAAACCATAGGTAGTAACCTTCTGCACATATGTATAGCTCCGAATTTCCTCACGGTTTCTCTGGTGCAAAAACAATATTCAAGCTTGTCTGATTATGAGCTTTTTTTCTTCAATATATAGATTATATACACAATGGGCAAGAAAGGACTATAGAGCACAAAGACTAAAATGCCTGCATTTCAAAAGTGGAGAAATCATGAACCTATGCATTCGGGAGAACTCTCCTCCCTTTTAAAAAATTTATTTCACTGAGAAATCCTTACAGCTAGTTTACAATCATAGGTTAACAGCCTAGTTATACAGAAGACATATCCCACTACAGAGCTATACTCTATGCAACTGTTTTTCCCTCATAAACAACCTGAGTTCAAATTGAATTCTAGCTTTCACAATCACAACGGGTGCGTCACCCAGCACAGAAGTTTGAGTCACAAAACATAATTACCACAATAAAACACAGTGTTCAAGTATCTCAGCAGATCGCCCTGCCGCACAAAGAGCAAATTAAATTAACTACACAGACTAAAAACTATACAGCCCGCCATCAACAGTTGTGCATTATAAAAAGGTAGTTTTTTTTTCTTTTAAATCGGGAACAGGTAGATTTTTTTTAAAAAATATATACAAGCTAGCACACACAGCCATCAGCGCTAATGCCCCCCCCATAATTATAGAAAATGGAAAGCTTACAATACCTCCTCCATCAAAGTGCCAGACCTAGAAGCCACAGCCTGAGCAGGGTTTGCCAGGGGGGAGATGAGGCCTGGGGTTTAGAGCTGCTTTGTGTGGGGTGGTGGAGGTGGGGTGTGGTGAGAGAAAGAAGGAGACAGGCAGTCCTTTCTCTTTCTCCCTAGCTTGCTCTCTTTTTATAAGTGAACCCAAAGGGCATCACTCGTCTTTTGCTCTGTCCTTGTTGATTTTCTTCATTTTCATCCTGCGGTTCTGGAACCAGATCTTGACCTGCCTCTCGGTGAGGTTGAGCAGCCGTGCCACCTCGTACCTGCGGTCCCTGGTGAGGTACATGTTGAACAGAAACTCTTTCTCCAGTTCCAGCGTCTGGTGTTTGGTATAGGGGCAGCGCTTCTTCCGTGTGGAGCGCGCGTGGAGCCAGTTGGCCGCTGGGTTATCTGCAGGGAGAGAGACACCGGGTTTAGAGGGAGGAGAAGCACCCTAGCGGGGTCCGAGGGAGCCTCCTGGGGCCTCTGACCAAAGTGCAGGTTGCCATTCAATTAGCTGGGGAAGGCTGCCCAGCCTCGGACACAATGGAACCCTGGCAGACAGACTCACAGACGGTCACTTACAATTGCACGCAGTAAAACCTCGGCCCTCCTCCCCTCCGCTGCCCTTTCTCCCCCTCTGTCTTTCTGTTCCATCCTGTCCTTCTTCCCACTCTTTGCGCATTGTGGGGAGAGTGAAATTTGTAAACAGATCTCCTTTGTCGCAGGCAGAGGGAAACCCCGCTGCCCTGTGTCCGTGCAGCAAGATTAATACTGCTTTTCACTCTGACTCCGTGTCTCCCCTTCCCCAGCTTTCCCTCTACCCTGGACACTCCTAATTTGACCTTCCGGGAAGGCCGTGGGAGCTAAGCGGCCGGCAGGGTGCCCTGACTCCTTTGATCAGGTCTCCAGCTTATTGGGATAATCTGGCAAGGGGACCCTCATGGCCGCTCGCCCGCAGCCTCGATTTGGGCAGGATTTACGCCACCGCCACCGGCTGAAGGCAAGAAGTCCAGGGAGTCGGCGTCTCCCCCAGCGTCCCGGGTCGGTTGCCCCGGCCGGCGACGTTGCAGCCGTGGCTCGCAAACAATCTAGCCGCACAAAAGACTCCGTTGTGCTGCTTTCGAAGAACGGCCCAAAGTATCTCGGTCCTGAGCCCGAGCAGCCAGCGAGAGGGGCGGCAGGTCTCGGCTCCGGCGGTAGCGCCCGCCCCGCCCCCTCTCGCTGCAGAGGCCTCCTCCCCTTCCCCCAGTGCTGCAGGCCTGCTCGTCACAGTTCTCCGGATTTGGGGCCCTATCTGAAGTGTCCCAAGCACCAACTACTGGCTCCCGGCCTCAGCTCGGGCGGCTCCCAGCGAAGACGAAGGCAGGCTCCGGAGGAAGCTGTTGGGCCGGCAGATCCCGGTGGCCGGCGTGGAGGCGGCGGCTGCTTTGGAGGGAGAAGACACTTACTGGGATCGATGGGGGGCTTGTCTCCGCCGCTCTCATTCTCAGCATTGTTTTCGGAAAAGGCGCCTTCGTTGGGTTGTTTTTCTCTATCAACTGGAGGAGAACCACAAGCATAGTCAGTCAGGGACAAAGTGTGAGTGTCAAGCGTGGGACAGTCACCCCTTCTGGCCGACAGCGGTTCAGGTTTAATGCCATAAGGCCGGCTGGAGGGCAAGCCCGCGAAGGAGAGCGCCCCGGGCGCGGGCTCCAGCCAGGAGCGCATGTACCTGCCGTCCGGCGCCGCCGCGGCCACGGGCGCCTGGGGGTGCACGTAGGGGTGGTGGTGGTGGTGGTGATACACGGCGGCGGGCACGGCGTTGGCGCCCGCCGCGTGCACCGGGTTCCAGGAGGCGCCGAACACCGCCGCCTTGGACTGGAAGCTGCACGGGCTGAAGTCGGGGTGCTCGGCCAGCGCCGCCGCCTGCCGCGGAGGCTGGCCCAGGGCCCCTGGAGCGTAGCGGCCGGCGCTCAGCTCGTCGGCGGCGTCCGCGCCCAGCAGGAACGAGTCCACATAGTAGTTGCCCAAGGTCCCGGTGGTGGCCATTGCCGTGCCCCGCGCCTGGCCGGCCCGGCCCGACCCGCGGAAATTATGAAACTGCAGATTTCATGTAACAACTTGGTGCCACCAAGGGGGGGGGAAGTACAGTCACCTAATAAGTTGCCGGCGCCCGCGCCCCCATTGGCCGCGCGCGTCACGTGCCCGCCCGGCAGAACAATAACGCGTAAATCACTCCGCACGCTATTAATGGCCCGGTGTTTTGCAGTCATAATTTTTATAGCAAAAGCCATATGTTTTTATGCAAAGGGATCGCGCCGTTCCACGATCGGGTTTGTTTTAATTGTGGCCAACGAAGATTAAAAGATCAAATTTGGCTTTGCCTCTGGACGCTCCCTGCCCCCACCCCCCACCAGACACACTTCTTAAGCGGACTATTTTATATCACAATTAATCACGCCATCAGGAAGGCGCGGGTCCCGCGTGTGAGTGCGGCCAGCAGAGCCCCTCACATAAAATTAGACAATAATTGAAGCCATAAAAAAGCAGCCAAATCGCATTCTCGCTCTACTGTATTTAAATCTATATTTATGATATTTCATAAGGAGTTATTGTTTCAGAAGCCACACAGAGGCTGGTGGGAAGTCGGGAACGACCAACAGATTCGTTTGCCTCTGCCGTGGCTCCCAGCTGTAAAAATTTACGAGGACTTGGAAAGGTTAAATTAGACTGTTGTGTTTGGTCGGCGAACTCCCTGTAAATAATCCCTGTGGTCCTCCGGAGATGCACCGTTTCCCCCCTCCTCCGGCCGCGAAAAGTCAAATTCAACGCAGTATCCGTCCCAAACAGGGTAGCCACCGTCCCTGCAGAGTGCGAGGGGAACTGGCCACCGAGGGGTCCCGCTAGTGTGGGCCCAGAGGCGGCGATGCTGGTGAGCCAGCGCCCAGACAGCCTTGAAGGTCGCCCTTTTTTCTCAAGCGAGGGCAGCTCCGGACCTAGAAGGGAGGGAGCAGCCAGCTACCCTCAACGGGAAGGGCTTGAGGACCTGGATATGCCGCACGCTCTCTCGGTCGGGGCTCACAATCTCGCCCGGACCGTTTTGCTCCTACTTAGCTGGAATTCACCATGCCTGGGCAGAGGCGGCTTAGCGACCTGGCTCTATGACGCATCCTTGAAGGCCCTAACGCTTTAGTCTGCAAGCCTCCTAGCGCTGTTGGAACCCAGGCTGGGAAAAAGAAAACGCCAGGCAGCATCAGTGAAAGGCGAATTCTGGTTGCTAAAAGGCATCTCTCCCCTAAGAGAGCATGCAGTTCCAGCGGCTGGGAAGCCCGCGCTGGAGCTGCCGGTCCAGGGCTCAGGGTGAGCCCTTCAGGGATCCCTGGATCACCAGATCACCGCTAGCTCGGGACGTGCCTTGGCTATTCAGGGAACTGAGCAACTCCACGACGGAGTTTTACAAGGCCCAAAGCGAAGAGGCTGCAGCTCAAGTCCAGGGCTAGAAATTAAAACGGGAGGGGCAGGGGGCATTGACTTTAATCCCATGCTTTGGCCTGGCCAAATTGGAAGGGTTATTTCCCACCCCTTAGAGTCTTTGGGAGTGAGACCAAATGAAAAGACTGCAGCCCCTTTTGTTAATTGGAAGGGGGAAAAACCCCACCCCAATTCCGAACAGAAAACCACGGGTCCTAGAAACGGGGTAATTAAATTCACGTGTGAATACTGTGCCTGCAAGAGTGTGTTTCTCATTAGTCCACTTTCCTGGCGGCAAGGCCAGCGGCCTCAGTCATTTCCATCTCTCTCTCCCTCCTTTTGCCTTCATTCTCACCAGTAGTTCAAAAAATTCCTCCTTCCAAACACCCTGACGGAGTCCTATTCCGGGCAGCGGCGGTGCCCCCCAAATGTTATTTTCTACGCTAAGAGAGACAGCCAAGCTACTGTATACCATCCTGAGTCCCTTCCTCCGCGGGTGCACCGCGCCGCGCCCGGGAGAGGGAAGTGGCCGACACAATGAACTCCGACGTGGCCTGTCCGGGCTGCCTCAGCCCCCTCCTCCCTAATATTTTTCTTTCCTGGTAAATTCCTCCGCGTCATCCCCACCCCCACGGCAGCCCAAGGCGTCTGGCAGTCCGCAGGGACTCTAAGATTTTCATTTAAAAATAAAACCTGAAAGAAAACTTTGCTCCTCATTGTAATTGTCTGTAAACGGCAGGCCGAGCATGCCTGGCTGCCTGATCCACTTTTTGTACCCAGAGAAGACATAGCTTATTTTTAACATTTTTTTAAACCAAAGGCTGTCCCAAGCCCCCAAATAAAATAGGAATAGTATTAAATAATTAACACATCGAGTGTTAAGCAGCTGTTATTGGTACCTGGGAGCAGGAAAATTTCACCAATCCAAATTCTGTCCCTCTGGAACCAAGAGATTGGGAGCCAGAATATTCAGACTGGTGCCTGTTTTTATTTTGAAAGTGAAAGGGATTGCACATGCATAAAGAAATAATAAATGGATGTAATTACAAACCACCCCTTCTCCACTGAGAGTTTGCCCAAAACTTTGATCTCTAAAATAAACTCAATACTTTGGTCCGGAAAATGGCAGAGAGGAATCAGGGAACCGGGTGTGCGGGGCTTTCAGATAACAGGTTGGCCGGCTGAGCAATGAAAACAATTCCCAGCCCCCAGCCTGAGCTGGGAAGGGAAGCACAGCTCTGCGGCCAAGGGTCTGAAGGCAAGTCTATGTGTGTGCTGGGGAAAGGGACAGACAGTTTGTTTCCAGTTTTCGGTATTTCAGAATGGTCAGGCTGGCTCCCACTAGTAGATTGCAACTTAGAACAAGAACTCAAGTTTGCATCTCAGTGACTCTGGAATTTAGTTTCCTTCGCCCTTTTGAAATACTGGCTCTTGGAAGGGTCCCTTTCTGCAGCAAACTGCTGTACAAGGTGGCCATATCCAACGCACTGGAACCTGACGCCACTGCCAAGCATGCAGTCAACTTTGCCTCAGCAAGGTTCCTTCATTGCGATCAAAACCCGGGTTAGGACTGGCAGGCCTGGCAGAGCGTGCAAGGAGCTTCCGGGCGGGTGGAGCGCCCTGAGTAGCCACGATCTCCATACAGCCCGGCTGGGCCTCAGCGCTTGTTTCCAGTGCGCAGAAGAAGGTCTCCCTGCCCTCGGAGTGGGCACACAAAGACGCCGCGGGTGCCCCCTAATCGGGTCTCCCAGGCAGCCCTAAGCGACTCGCGGAGGAAGAACGCAAGGCCGCCGCCACTCGGTCGTGATCATAACCGAGGCCTTGTCTGCGCAGAGGCACACAGGCCAAACCCCACGGTCCTGGACAGCCACCCAACGCAGACCCTTCCTCAGCAGACTCAGACTTCTACTTAAGCGCAAAGAGGAAAATGAGGCCGCCAGAATTCCCCTACGCCAGCCTCTTCCCCCTCTGATAGGATGATTTGGAAAGGGGAGAAGGCGATCTAGAAAGAGAATCGGGACAGAGACAGAAGATAAAAGAAATATGAAGGAAGCAAAGAAAGAAGGAAGGGGCAAAGAAAGAAAGAAGGGATAAAAGAGCAAGGAGGGAGGGAAGGAAAGAGACCGAGGAGACCCGTGGGAGCAGAGGGCGCGCTTGCAGAGAGGATGACACGGCCAGGATCCCTGTCCCTGTCCGCCCTGGCCCTCTTATCTCGGCCTGCGTCTCCACAGGCAAAGGAATCTTTCCTGAACTCACACCCCAAATTGGAGTGTGTGTTAGTTCCAGCCTTGCAGGAGAATGGCGGGGATGCGCGCCAGGCGCAGGGATACAGTAGGGAAGCTCCTGAAGGCAGCTAGCGCCCCTGACCTTGAATGGCCTGAGGCCCAGAATTCTTACCACGCCCCCGGCGTCCGCGGAGGAGCAGTTAACCTGACGGTACCTGCCCCGGGCCCGGTGCGGGGGAGGGGAGGCCGGCGGGCTGGCACGGTGCTGAGGAAGACACGAGGTTCCTGCGTAGGGAGAGCCGAGGTTGCCACCGCAGGCCTGGCATGACCGGGGCCTTGATGCCCCGCCCGGCCCGGCCCGGCCCCGCGCGCGCAGGTACCTGGAGACGATTTCAACTGAAGTAATGAAGGCAGTGTCGTGCTGTCGAGAGAAAGGTGGATCCCAACAACAGGAAACTACCTAAATCACCGACCAGTTCTGGTGCTGCCCGCGCGGGGCTGCCTCGCCCGCCGCCGCCGCCGCCGCCACTGCTGCCGCCGCGGTCGCCGCCAACGAGAGAACCCTGCGATCGTGCCCGGCCCGGCCCCCTGGCAACCTGTGCCCGCCGCTGCCCCCGAGTGCCCCAGGCCTCCGCAAACCCGTCGGGAAGGGAGAAGCCACGGGTCCCCAGGAAGGTAAGCCTAGGAGAGCGGGAGAGTGCAGGAGACAGGAAGGGAAGGCAAGAGAGAAAAAAGGCAGGGAGAAGCCGCGCCCGGGTTCCCTGGACCCCGCAGCGATCAACCGAAGCCGCGGAGAGCAGCGGCAGCCTAGGGCTGCTGGAAAGCGCCGGGGACGTCGCCGAGCCCGGTTCTCAGTCTGGCCGCGGCCTCCCGCGCTCGCTCCCCCTCCCTCCCTCCCAGACGCCCGCCCGCGGAGGCGCGCGCTCCCGCGCCCCCTCCCCCGAGCGGCGCGCCCCCCACCTCCGCCGAGCAGGAAACGCGTGGCCCGGCCGAGGGCCGGCAGGTGGGGGAGGCCGTGCTGGGGGAGGGGGCGGCCCGGGCGGATCCGGGCACCCCGGCCTGGTCCACCTAACCGCTGCGGAAGGCACTAGTGATGCGCTGTGGGCCCGGCCTGCTCCCGGGATTTAGGCTGAGGGTCATCTGGGACCTGGGCACCCGCAAAATAACTGGCCTCTGAGAGCCTCTCTGGGGCTCCAAAAAGAAATCCTGTTTAGCTTCCTCTATCTGTGCAGCTCCCCTCTCAACTGAAACCACTAGTCCAAGACAGCCACAATCCAGATATACTAGCAAGTCATAAAACTGAACAAAAGCCGACAAACCTTAGGGCACCAGGGCTATAGGGCCCAGACAAATTACGACCGTCTAGGTAATATTTAAATAGATGCCTAAAGTAATTGCAGGGGGCTCAGGCTAGTACTCCTGTTGTAAAAGTGGTGGACGGGATAAAGTAGAAGGTGAAGATAAGAAGTCAAAAAAGAGGTAAAATTAAAAAGCTTCATTCCACAGCTTTTATTCTATAAGAACATAAACATCGTCTTTTTTTTCCACGCACAGCAGCAATACAATATTAATTTATTCTGATTTAAGATTAGAAGTAAATAGAGCTAGCACTAACATTTATAATAACGATAGAATGCATTTGCTTAAAACAAGATTGGCAATTTTTCATAATAATAGACATTTATACAGATTTGTATTTATAGTTTTTTCTTTTTCTGCACCTACAGGTTTGACCCTTTTATGCATGTTACTTCACAGTATAAAGGAAATCCAAACAATGTCTCCCTTCTCTAGTTTATTACGTTTGCCCCAGCCATCCTAGGCTTCCGTGAATTTCAGAAAGCCCCCTCCAAAGTGAATTAAAAAAAACTCCACAAGATAGGGAGAATTGTGATGTGCTTTTCGAGTGTTACCAGTGGTAACGATTTTCATGACAAAAATTCCACTAATTCCACATGTATAAACAAAACTTCATTATTTATCAACAGTCAGAAGGATATGGAAATTCAGAGGTAAATGAAACATTTCAGTCAGGCAATGCAAGACCTTAGACAAACTGAAAAAGAAGTTTCCTTCTCTTGGTCATTCCTTTTTTTTTTTTTCTGATAAAGCTGGGATATCTTACAGAGGAAGGAAAAATTAATCTTTCTCACTCTCAATTTTTCAATCAGCCAAAGTCAAGCCCTAGTGCCAACCTGCATATCCATGCCTGCATGCCCTTCTCTCGGCCAAGGAAGAAAGGAAGAAAGAAAAAAAGAAGCCCAGGGGCCTGTATCCCCTGATTAAACACAGCCCAACACTCCAGGCAGGCATGCCCGGTGGCGGCTCCTTGCACCATTGACCTCAGGCCAGACACCTCTGCGCCGACAATGGGATCTCGGCCTTCCCGCTAGGTTTGCCCAGGGCTGGGCAGGAAACCAGCTCTGTAGAGGAGGACAGGGGCCATTTCAAGCAGTGGGACCCCGAGACAGCAAACCTAATCCATTCAGGACTTGACACTTAGGACAATATCTACCTCTATAGAATTTTAGCGCGATATGGCTTTTTCCCCCAGAAAACAAGTAAACCAGCATCAAGCAAACAGACAAAGAAACAAAAAGTCAGAACAAACCAGCCCTGCACAGATGTAACTGCCCGGGAGATGGCGAGTGTGGGAGGGAGGAATAGGGCTCCGGCACAGGTGCGAGTTCGGGACAGAGGCTGAAGACAGAGGGAGGGGACCGGCGCTCTGGAGGTGGAAAAAACAGCGTCGCCTGGAGCTTCATCAGGAAAAATTAAAGTTGGCTGTGAGCTCTCGGATCCGGTTTTCTCGGTTCATTTTCTTCAGTTTCATCCTGCGGTTCTGAAACCAGATTTTCACTTGTCTGTCCGTGAGGTGGACGCTGCGACTGATCTCTAGGCGCCGCTCTCGAGTAAGGTACATGTTGAACAGAAACTCCTTCTCCAGCTCCAGCGTCTGGTGCTTCGTGTAGGGGCAGCGTTTCTTCCGGCCGCTCTTCGCCGTGAGCCAGTTGGCTGCGTTTTCGCCTTTGGAATTGCCTGGCGTTTAAGAGAATACGGAGGGGAAGGTTAAGTCTAGGCCATGCGGGCTGCGCGCGTGGTGAATTGGGTTTGTCTTTCCCTTAAGAGGCTTGGCCCAGGTCACACACAGAGAGGGCTGTGTCCTCGTTTGGTGTGCGGAGAACAAGCCATTCTTCCAAAACTCGAGGCAAAATTGCAAAATCCAGCGAGCCTCCAGTCTACACCTACCCTCCTAATTTATATTTTTCTCCATTTTCCCTCCCTTAAACACCTGTTTTAGCACAAAGCTGCAGGGATGCTTGTAGAATGAAAGGCCTAGCAGGGCAGGCTGTACATCTTGAACTTAACGCCTTTCTTTACATCTTGCCCTATGGCAGGCAATCACTTCCTGCAGTCCCTCGGCTGGGGGATGAGGGGTGCTTACTTGAATGGGAGGCCAGAAACAGCTGTCTCACCCAAGCCCCCTCAATACCCCAGACATGATGAGGAAGAGAAGGGCTCTCGGGCAACACAGGAAGAAAAACTGATTCTGGGTTCAGGGGACCTCCCGCGCATCTCTCCAGGAGCCGGGGGTGTGCAGCTGGGCGATTCCGAGTTCCAGGGAAAACGGAATGGCCCCTCTCTGGCTTTCAGCTCAGGGCCCCAGGCGTCCGGGCAGGATTTGCTTTTTCTTCTCCTCGAAACAAGGGTTCCCGCCCCTCCAGCAACTTTGAAAAAGGCATGGGGGATCGTAAACTCGAACTTCGCCGGTTAATGGGCTTATTTATTGGCGCTGGCGGCTGCTTATTTTGGATGCCTTACAAACATCCGCGCTATCTGCGGGCGAGCCACTTTCCCTCCCTCCCCCTCCCCCCGCGTGGGCCGCGCCGTGCAGGCTGGGCCCGGACCACAGCTTGGGGTGCTCCATGCCACAAGGAAGAGCGTGCACAAGAGGGGGGCTGCTCGCTGGTGTCGTCTCCTCGAGTCAGGGTGAGCTGGGGCCAGCGCTGAGGACGTCTTGGTGTGGGGCGCTAAGCCGGACATGAATTTTTACTGCGTCCCCACGCCCAAATATTAAAAAGCAAGTTCACAAGGTCAGCCTGCCTGCAGCTTGGGCCAAGGCCGGCCGGCTGCTGCGCGGGCTCCTGGTTCTTGACTCCTTCCTTTGCTTGAGTCTGCCTGTGTGCCCGCCTGACTGAGCCCTCTGGCGCATCCTGCTTACCCAGGGAGTCCTTCTCCGGCGAGGCTTTGCTGCTCTCGGAAGGGGCCGGGGAGAGCTCCTCCGCCGCCGAGGATGACGCGTGCGCCTCCTCATCGCCCTGCGAGCCGCCGCCGCAAACCAGCGTGGGGGGCGGCGGAGAATCGAGGGCTCGCTCCTTCCGAGCCGCATCGGCCGAGCCGGAGGCGAGAGCAGGCGGCTGGTCGAAGCCGCGCCCGGGGGGCTGCGCCGGGAATGGGCTGGCGCCGAGCTGTTGCGCGCCGCCACCGCCGCCGCCACTGCCGTAGCCCTTGGCCGTGCCGTAGGCCTGCGAGAGGCGGAAGTAGCCGGGCACTGGCACCCCGCTGGAGGCGCCCAGGGCGCAGCCGTCGGGCGGCGGGCCCCGCGGGAAGGGGCCCAGGTCTGCGGCCGCGGCCGAGCCTTTGGGGCATTTGTCCGCCGAGTCGTAGAGGCAGTAGGAGCTCTCTTCTTTGATGTTCTGCGCGAAAGAGCATGAGGTGGCCTGTGGCGGGGGCTGGGGTGGTTGCGGCGGGGGTGGCGGCTGTTGCTGGGGCTGCTGGGGCTGCGGCGGCCCCTCGGGCGGCTCCATCCGGCAGGACCGGGGCGCGTCCAGCCACAGGTCTAAGGGCGCGGGCGCGTAGCCGTGCGCCCC